TCCAGATTTCTCCCTTTCTCCATATAGGCTAACATTTGATCGTTCTCGCTCTCCGTAGTTCCCATGTGGCGCTGTACGTTAACACCCGCCAGCAGAAACACCCACCTACCCAACTGACAGACATAATCTTATACATCAGCCAATCTCATCCTCCCCTCTCTCATGACAAGGAGCGCACGAGTCCTATCATGAAAAAAAGGTTAATTGTGTGACCTGAGTAACGCGCCATGGTAACTGCGTTATAGTTTCAGTCAAAGTAATTACTTAGATTACTCGTTATTAAAAAAAAGGTAACGGCGTTACTCCCATTACTGATAAAGACAGACATTAGTTGACACCCATTGGTTTCCATTGATTTTCAGTCAACTTCAAACCTTTCTATGCAGTAACCCTAAAACTAACCCTAAACCATCAACGCATACCTCACCCTAACCCAAACCCAACTGACACCTTGGCCAGGGGCGGAGCTGGATGGGGGGCCTGGGGTGGCCATTGCCACCCTTATTCAAACATTGGCCACCCCTGTGGTCACCCCTGTGGCCACCCCTAGTATTTATTTCCCTCTAAAACAGACAGTGGAAGCAGTAATAATCTCAAGTGGAACATTCAAAACATTTACATTTTTCATAAATTGAAAATTACTTGACAACAAAAACACTCTGGTGAATTATCTACATCAATATACTAACATTAAAAATGATAGGTACAGAATTAAAGCAGAAATACATTTTTTGTTTTATTGGGTAAAGAGAAAATGTGTCTCTGCAAGTCATCAAGGAGTCTTCATTGAAATCATAGATAAATAACTATTATAATAAAAATGTATTAAATAATCAATTTATGTAGATATTAGTGCTTGTAAATATCAATTTTATGCAGAATGATTATTGATAAAAGTAGGTAAGTAATGACAAAGGAAAAGATGTTGGCCCAAAACTCAAACCTGAAAGAATTTATCCACTATACCTTTAATTTAGAAAGCACAGATGTTTGAATATATTCATCTATTTGCTAGCTAAGGCTGTAGGAAAGTATAGTTTGTCTTTATTTAGAAAATATGGATGTTTTGCTTGTTAATTTTCCTGTTGGAACAGTGTAGATTGACCTTGAGGTTCTGGCGCCTATCCACTATGGGCCACCCCTCAGTGTACACTGGTTATTGCCTGGCCACCCCATTTCTGGCTACGCCTCTGACCTTTGCCCTAAACCTAACCATTGGCAAAATAGCTTGTGAGGACTAGCAAAATGCCCTCACACTTTGCAACAACTGGTCCTCAAGTTGATGGTGGAAATGGAAAATTCTCCTCACTCTGAGGGCTAGACAGGAACACCCACACACACGCACACACCATAACTGGTCGTTTTATTATTCTTTATTTGTTCAGGGGGTCATTAACAATTTTTTTATACACTTTTTAAAATAATCCTTGGGCTCCTATTATTACCCATTTTATTAAACGTGCAATGTGTAATTGATATTCAAACAGCTGTCTTGTATGTGTCGCATACTTTAAACATGTTTTACCTTAGCACGTTTGTAAGTATTCAGCAACAATCATTTTACCGCAACATAACCACCTCTGTTCGTAGGTTCTTAGTCTTGGCTACAATAACATAAGGCTGGTGAAAATCAACATTCTTTTGTAACCTTTCTTTTGGGGGGAGGAGATGTTTTTCAAAAAG